TATTATTATTATTATTATTATAAATCACTTGTTATTCGTCTTATTCTTATTTTCTACTTTCTTTTCTTTTTTTACTATTATTATTATTAATATTCTTACAAAGTTTTTTTATTGTTTTCATTCTCATAATCATTTGCAATATTGGGATTATCATTCCTCGTCATCTTCTTCTTCTTCTTCTTCTTCTTCTTATTATTATTATTATTATTATTATTATTACTGTTGTTGTTGTTTATTAGGAGTTATAGTCCCTGCTTTGTTTTTTATGCTTATCTCAAGAGTTGGAAAGCCGGATGTTTGATAACGTCCAGTCATCAAATTCTATCCGGGGAATCGTAAACGAAATCACCGGCAATATGGCAGCCGTTACGTTCCGGTATAATGGCCGAATCAAGCTGCCAATCAACACGTAGCCAAATATCACGTCATGTTATATTTGCCTTGTAATTATTGTTGTCAATGGTCATTAAAAATTTATTCACTACACACACACACACACATACATACATACATACATACATACATACATATATACATAATAAATATATAAGTGTGTGTATGCGTGTGTGTGTCGTAATTAAACTGCATGACGATTCTAAATCATGTTAAATATTCATTTCATCTGATTGCGTTGGCTAGTTTTCTGTTCTCCCATGTATCATTGATTGATTCGATAATCAATTACAAAGTAAATTTAAAAGTACCAAACAAATTAATCCGCGCCATTATCAAAGAAGTTAGAAATAAAAGACGTAAAACTCCTCAAATTGTCTCTAGATCTTTTTTTACTATCAGACTGCAATGAATGTGTACAAATATATTTTTAAATTTCTTTAATTTTTCTGTAATTTCTTTCTTACCATAGAATTGGAGTATAGAAGATTAACTCACTAATAATTACCCAAATTTAGCTACGAATCAATTCCGCTTTGTTTTCTTGTTTTTTATCTTATCTTATTTTTAGTCTTATTATTCTCAGTATAATTTTTATTACTATTACTTTTATTATTATTATTATTATTATTATTATTATTATTATTATTATTATTATTATTTTCTTTGATTTCTGGCATTTACATATTTCTTTCCGAGTCCCGCCCAGGGACCTAAGTTTAGAAATAACACCATGACACTTTCCACTGACAAAAAAATAAAAAATAAAATTAAATTACATAGATAAAGCCCTACGTAAAGTGTGGGCTGTACTTGTGAGAACAATATTTTGTATTTCTTTGAGACATGAACTTCAAGGTCTCCCTTTAATTAGTCTACTGGAATCTTTTCCAACCAATCCTAGGGCTCAAACTATCAGGTCATCCCCTAAGTTCTGTCCGAATTTTGAATAAAGAAAACAAGTGACCAAATGTTACATTTAATTACAGATTCAATCAACAATGTATTTTCCCTGATTATCTATGATTTCTTTCCATCTATTAACAAGTTTACTAATTCCATTACTGTAAAATTCTTTTGGCTTTGATTCGAAGAACTCACAAATGTCAGTTTTAACCTCTTCCTATGTTACAAAAGCTGTTTCTTCCAAATGATTCTGTAAGCTACGAAACAAATGGTAGTCTGAAGGAGCAAGATCTGGAGAATAAGGTGGATGAGGAATTTTCTCCCAACCAAGTTCTTCGATCTTTTGTGACGTGATTCTTGCTGTGTGGGGTCACGCAGTATCCTGATGAAACATCACCTCTTTTCGATTCACTAGAGCAGGTCTTTTTCCTCAAAGCTTGGTTCAAACGCTCAAATTGCTGACAGTATATTTGAGCATTAATTGTTGCATTAGTTGGTAAAAATTCAAAGTGGATTATTCCTTGGCGATCCCACCAGATTGAAAGAAGAAGCTTTTGCCCATGAAGTTCCCTTCTCAGCTGTGGCTGGGGTCCTTCCCATTTGCCAAGCCACTGTCTACGACGCTTAACATTTCAATAAAAGATCCATTTTTCGTCACCAGTCACAAGTCTATACAAAAAAGGTGAAACAATTTGGCGAGATTGGAGAGAAAAGCAGATGTGAACTCGGGATTTGAGGTTGTTTTCAGACAATTCATGAGGGAGCCATTTTCCAAGTTTAAGAACTTTTCCAAGTTGTTGAAGATGATGATAAACAGTTGTATGGTTTAAACTGAGAGCCACTGCCAATTCTTCAACTGATAAAGCAGTATTTTTTTCAAGGGCTGCTTCAAGAAGCTTTTCATCAAACTCAGCTGGACGTCCGATTCGATCTTCATTTTCAAGGGTGAAATCTCCACCTCTGAAATCTGCAAACCATCTTCTGCAAGTTCTTTCATTCACACATTCCTCTCCATAAACTGAGTGAATGTTTCTAGCCGCTTCGGCTGCTGAGTTTCCTTTCTTGAACCGATAAAGCATTATGTGCCTCAAATGATTCTTGGGTACTTTCATGTTAGCAGCATTTTAATCAAACAAAATTTAATTTTATTGTTCTCTGAAATAAAATTTGATCAGTTTAAATGCATCTTAACATAAAAATAATGTTCAGCTCCATTAGACATTATAAAATACTCTTTAAATTTCGTTCATTTTAAAAAAAGGTAAAATTCGGACAGAACTTATGGGATGACTTGATACAACAGGGATTGTTGATGTTCCCACGTGACACATTTTTGAGATTTCCATTTCAAAGTTCTTATAATTTGACAGCTTTTTGAATATATTCAAAGATACATTGCAGTCTGCCATATCAATAAGGAGGCACTTTTTTGTGGTCTTTTATAACAATATCTGGGCGGTTGGCTTTGATTGTTCTTTCAGTGTGTATATTGTGTAGTCCCATAGAATTGTAACAGGTCCTATCTCCGTAACCGGGTCTGGGTGGTGTTCATACCAGTTTCTTTCAGTTTCCTTTCCGTAGAAGTTGCAAATTTTCCAGTGCAGATATTGGTCCACTCTCTAATGTCGGGTTTTATACTAAGTGGGTGCCAATACCGTGCAACCTGATACAAGATGATCAATTGTTTCTGGATATTTATCACAGAATCTGCATTTTGGGCTAACACAATATTTTAGTATATGTGCTTGATAATTCCTAGTTAACAAACATTGGTCCTGTGCAGCAAGGATAAAACTTTCAGTTTCAGCTTTCAACACTGCACTACGTAGCCACTGATGGGTACGGGTTTTGTCTACGTTAGCTTGTTTGGTACGGGCAGAGTATTGGCCATGAAGCGGTTTATCTTGCCATCGCTTCTGTATCTGTTCAGTTGCATTTGTCTTTGATTTCTTATTTAAGTATGTTGCTGCTTCAGCCAGTGTATTGTGCTTTACTCGTATTTCTGCATCCATTTGAAACTCTATTTTGAATTTATTATTATTTTTATTATTATTATTATTATTATTATTATTTTACTTTCATTATCATTTTATCGCTACAAATCTTTTTATTTTCATTAATTTTTATGAATTTACCACTATTTTTTTGCAAAAAATAGTTCCCCTCTTTCATCCTCAAACTTATTTTAATGACAGTGTTCGTTTTTAACGAAATTTAGAAAATATAAAAACAGTTCTTATTTGAACAAATTATCCTTAAACAAAAACGAAAGGTTTTTCTTTTTTTTTTTTTTTGCTATCCTCTGCGAGCCGCAACGATGGAAAAAATCATTACCTCGCACCATCGCCAGTTAGACACACTGCAAGAGCCACTCCGTTTCAGGAGGCTCGTCTCTTACTCGAGACGAAATCCCGCCAACCCACTCAAAGGAAAGCCATCGAACGAAAGCCAATAAACCCAGAAGTCGCCAAAGCCACGGGAGTAAAAATAAATCTGTCCGTAAGAAAATATTTAACTATATTTTTTATCTCCGCGTCCCGTGCGACAGACCTCGGCTCAACCCCGGGCCTGATCAAATTAACGACCGAAAATGTATCCGCACAGGTCGCATCCCAAATCAACGACTTCCCCATTTTAAAAGGGAAAATGGTAATCCCATCCGGCAGCTTTGCATCACCACATTCAAGGCCTACAAGTTCGATTTTGAAGGGGAACTCAGCTGCATCCAGACCTCTTCTGCTGGTGTCGTTTATTGCTGCATGCCTTTGAAAGCTGCCAGAACTACGACGACAAGAAAGAGGGTGCAAACTAAACTCATCAATCTTAGCTGCACATCTGGATCTGTGAGGCTCACATAATTTGAGCCCAAGAGGGATAGCGACTTCGACCTGAGCGTACACATCATCTAGAAGGGTACCGGTAGATGAGGAGGGAAATGTATTGAACCAGGCGCCCCTACTCGGTTGTGTAGCAGATAGTGGACAGTCGAGGCGGTGCTGATCCAGAGAGAGCCTCAAAATAGTGAAATTGTCCTCGCATTTTATTTTATCCCAGCTTTCATGTTGTAACGTGTCTTGTGTGATAGAAAGTCATTCTTGGGCCTAGACGTTGCAAGCTTGTTCGAAAGAACTACACGAAAAATGATCCACCGAGTTTCTCATCAATTAATTCGCAACCGGAAGAAAGTGAAGAAAGATATGCTGGAAGGCCCACGTCAGACGCTGATCGAAGGCTCAGGCCTGCGAAACTCAAAGGGAGTTCGCCTGCCTCCAGCGTCGAAGTTAACGCTGTAAATTAACTCTGCTCATCTTTTAATTGTGATATCTATCTCATTTGAGAAATCCTGTTCGAGGTAGCAAGGGACACTTCCAATAGCGTAGAGGAACTTCGATAAAGAAAAACTGTTCTTTATGTGGAAAAAGGTTGGGTGTACATCAATTAATTGTAATTTCTTAGCTATTCTTCTTACAATGACATGCTTAGCATCCAAACACTCTTGAATGGCCATTGGAATGATTGGAAAACCAAGAATGTGTAATTCATCCTTAGGTGTTATTTTTATATCATCAAGGATGAATCTAATATCCCGGAGAGCACTCTCGAAATCAATCTGCACTATTCAAATTTATTATCTTCGACTTGGACGAGTTAATCTCGTCCAAGCAGAGATAAAGCAAGAATAACCTGCTGGAGGCCGCCAGCTACGGCTCGACGGTCCCTTGCGACGTCAAGTTACCATAAGTTGAAAGGAGAGGCGATGTAACGAGGTACCTCGTCGAAGACATTGCAAATAGTAGCGGACCAAGTGGATCATCTTGCTGGATTCCGGTAGCAGAAGATATAATATTATTCGAGACGTTCAACATACTTGGATGACTATACGAAAGATGAGAGATTTGAAATATGGAAGGAGTCAGTTGAGGGTAACTTTCTAAAGTATGATCCCTACTGATACTTGAAAGCGTTTTTCATGTCAAGTTTTAATAAGATACGTGGGGAAACAGATGATGCATTCTCGAAAAACGATCTTGTGGCATGAACCGCGGCTTCACATCCGCCCTGTATGCTTACACTGAGCTGAACAGGTCGCAATTCATGCCCTAGCTCCTTCACAACAACTCCCCATTCGATTTTTTGCCGCGAGTCGACGAAAAAATATTACCAACAGGGCGGATACCGCCGTCTTTTTGTTAAAAGCCGTTAAGTTAGCTGAAAATATTAAGTTGCAAGCATGGGGTATCTTAGCTCGAAGAAGAGTTGTTATCGATGTTTTCAAATGTTCACCAGCTTTGACAGTGTGGGTAGAAATTAAGTCCTTGATGTGACCAGGTCGTAGGCCGTCCACACCGCCACTGTTGCTTCACGAGAAAGACTTCAGAGAGGCAACAACCATCGTTTTCGAGATTACAATATTGGAATCATTGTTTTCCACCTAAACAACTCTGATATCTGATGGAGGCGCAGGTTGTTTTCGACTGAGCGCTGTGAGAACTTCTGGTGTAGTAGCTAGTATAGTATCAGATGAGGCCAATTCTCTAACTGCAGCTGAGACATCACCCTCGACGAGGGCACGGAGTCTCTTAGAATCGTCGACTGTAGTTGAAGGATTAAATCTGTTAGGATTAGGAAGTTTAAAATATTCGGTGGCATTTATTTTAGACGAATTGAATAAAGGTATGTTATTATTCATTAGATGAGACAGATGAAATAGGGTCCTTACTGAAAGAAATGCCGAGCACAAGTGTTGCGAAAGAGAAAAAAATGATCCCAGTCAAGGGAACTGTTCAAGTTAAGTGCTTGGTCTATGGCAGTAGCCAAGCTATCGTCTGTCGGGATTCTGACGGATTTACGGATTTTTAAATGCACCTTCCGGAATAGTATGAGGAGTGAGGTTGCCCTCAGAACTTCGCTGGCGTCTATTTGGGTCGGTTCATTACGTTGTGAAGCTGATAGAGAGAGAGAGAGAGACAGAGAGAGAATGCTAATCTGTCCAAATAACCAGAGACGCTGAAGAACTTCTAGTCAATCCCTCGCAAGCTACATGAAAAGACCATTGACAATTTGAACAACTTCTGACTCTTTTACGCTTATTAATGCTTCCACAAGAAAGACAACGATCAGATTCCAGCAGTGAAAACCATCGGGACAAAAAAGAAGAAAGAGACATATTTTCTTCTCTTTTTTTTCTCAAATTAACGTAAAACTTTTTTTTCTGTTAATTTTGTAATCCCTGCTTGACATTAATTTCAATTTTTTCCATTGAAATCAAATCTTCGAAAAAAATACTCTCTTGAATTAAAACTCCTTAACAATAATGTTTGCATCTTCCAATTATTAATTCGATAACGATTATTTCATTTCCTATTCAAATTCGTATTTACCTTACTTAATATTTAACTCCGATCTTTTTACATTGTTAGAAATCCATTGAAATCAGCAGATCTTTGAAAAACATGTCTTTTTTTTCTTTCAATTCCAAATGCATAAAAACTTCTAAAGTTAGTGTTGTGCGAGAAAATGTGTTCTTGGATTCATTAACAAAGCGAATAGCAATACAACATAAACGCATAAAAAAAAGTTTAAAATAACCACATACGTCTTCATATAACAGCAATTGAATATATATATATATATATATATATAGTTTATGCAAAACTAGGTAATCCGTATGGGTAGACCCAAGGAGGATGATATCCGGAGAGCTCAACGTAAATTACGAGCAACTATGTTTGAATAAAAAACAGAACACTTTAAGGTTCCATGTAATAATTTCACATAATGTGAAATAATTTATTACAGTGGTCTGTTTTTATTCATATATATATATATATATATATATATATATATATATATATATATATATATATATATATATATATATATATATGAACTGTTCATACAAAGGTGTGTATGCGTTTTTGTAAGAGATTTGATATCGCAAAAAAATGATCTTTAGTACTTATGTTGATTGTCACGAGCCTGAATAAGTACGTCTTACTAGTTTGACTGCCAGAAACCAAAAAGAATATTTAACTTTCGCGCCTAACAATCTCCCGGTCAGTTCACGTGACTATCTTTATATCTATTTTTAGCTTTTTTAGAGGTTAGTCAAAGGGATATAACTTTTGTCTCCCTCAACATTAGAACTAGAATTCCTAATAATTATTATTTTCAAACAAAATGTAAGTTTGAGCCTAAATTCAAATTCAAGATTAGATTATAGTGCAATTAAATATTTTACTACGGTAATAATATAAAAAACAACAACATATCCCGCGAGACTCAGAAATATTAATCAACCGATGGTAACCAATCGGTATAAGTTCAAAAAGATGATTGCATTCTTCATGAAACTCCAAGTTATACTGTCGAAAAAAAATCGTTGCGAGTTCGGGAAAAATGTGTAATAGTGAATTAATAAATATAAAACATAGTTTGTTGGAGTGTATCGCTTAAGATGGTTTTTGAAAGCGGAACAAAAATAGATTGAAAACGAAAGTGCCCGGCTGTGATACACAAGTGAAAGTTATAATACTAAAGAATTTAATGCTCAGAGTCGAATTAGACAATGAAAATTAGTATTAAAAAAGTATTCAATAGACATGTAAAATGATTTTTTTACAAATTAACATCTAGTGCTTCTAAGTATAATAAATTAGAACATCAGCCAATTTCGCTACCTTGGTTTCAACCTTTCGGGATCTTCAGGCGGTTTCGGTCAATTGATTTCCTAACGCTTTATTTTTAATTTTGAAATAAAACAATTCATATAAAATAAAATAATTCACATTTCGGTCTACACATATTTTGAATTAGTGTTTGCCCATATATGAGAAAATTGCGCCCTGAAGATGACAATTTGAAATTGACGAAAGTACTTGGCACGTGTCTTCCATCTGACAACAACTCGAATATAAGTTTCTTATTATTCAAGGAATTGATAGTAAGTTAATGCTCCACAAAGTGATTTCGCCATTAATATACATTAATTCTTTGTATAAATTGTTTCTTTATAATATAAAATACAAGCTGCACAATTTAATATATATATATATATATATATATATATATATATATATATATATATAATACACATGGCTCCAAAATAAGTACTGCTTTCTTGATTTTCAGTCAACTTTGATCATCAAAACTAGAATGCAATGTCAACCGTTATTTTCTGCGTTCATAACTGTTCCTTTATTATTTACTCTCTTTAGAAATGTTTTTTTTTCTTTTTCGCGGATCCTTTCACATTCAGTAACCCATTGCGTCTTGGTAATTTCATTTTCTTGCTTGGGGTGAAATGATTAAAAAATACAAATTTTATCATCACATTTGAGATATCCTGACGAGGATTCATACCTTTCCCAAGGGTATTAGCACGTAAGTGAATGTAATGGATTCGACTGGAATTCGAACTCGGCTCTCTGATTCCTCAAACAGCTGCTATCCATTAAAACGAGATTAATTAACGTGTTACATATAAAAAATGATAGAAGGTTATGAATTTAACCGTGTCCTCTTAGTTTCATAACATTTTTATAATAATCTGTTTCGGCTCAGTTATGTTGTTGTTATTATTATTATTATTAGAAATTATAATGGAAACATATTGCAATCGCGACACAAAAGATTTCATATATCAATATTACGGTTGTACTTCTTCATGCGATGTTAAATAGCGATTTCGACATGATGCTATTAAAATCTCTTTTAATAAAAATAATAATATATTACTCTACTCTATATTGAGCACTTTGTTTAAAAGTAAATGCTACGAAGAGTAGGATTAACTCCATCTTTTATTTCCCTCATTTGTGTATATATATATATATATATATATATATATATATATATATATATATATATATATATATATATATTAATGGTCAAAATATATATATATATATATATGATATTAATGGTCAATATATATATATATATATATATATATATATATATAAAATTCCCAAGAGGATAGAATCCAGGTAGAACTCAACGTCCAAGACAGAGTAAGAATATAATATAAAAGGCTCAAACAGTAATATCCCATGGTTATAATTTATTATATTGGAATCGCAATCACGATCTAATTCATCAGACCTACAAATTCAAAAATTCCTTTTTGAATTTGTAGGTCTGATGAATTGCATTGTGATTATGATTCGAATGTAATAAATTATAACCATGGAATATTAGTGTTTTGAGCCTATTATATATATATATATATATATATATATATATATATATATATATATATATATATATATATATAGCGTTTTTTTGTGTGTGCATCCGTTAGCAATATTCTCCTTTATCTGAGCCATTTCCTTAAAAATAATCGTCTTATCGTTGTGGAAAAAGCATCAGACAATTGAAACAAGTTGCATGCATTCAAAAATTATAAGGCCAACTCAAAAATTCTTGAGAAAGGAACGAGAAATTATGGGCCTTTTTTTTTGGTGTCTATAAATGTTCACACGTGCTAAAAACGAAGGGAAGTTGTGGAGAGCAATTAACGTCTAAAAGTACATAACACTCAAGAAGTAACCCGCATATATTGTCCTACTGTGTGAACTTATTTGAATGTCAGACTGTGATAGAACACTTTCGTCACAGAGCTACGAATCTAATCATTGATTCTACTGAAACGCTACACCGGAAGTGACGTTGCTAACTCTGAGTAGCAAATTGTCACGAAACTAGGGTAGGGAATTCATTTTTCCAGCATTTTACTACAGCATGATATGTTGGTATGCAACACTTTTCCTGCTCTCTCATTGTAGGGAGGAGAAGTGTTGCCAAATTGTAAGTAAGAAAACACCTGAACACAAATGATTTAGAATATCAAGTTTTCGAAATGCTAGCTTATTTTTTTTTGTTCCGGATTCGAGCGCCTCAGACTGGCGTCGCTAGTCGGTAGTTAATAAATATCTTCAGCTACGAAACACGAAGTCAAAATGTTATATTCATATATTTGCAGAATTCACTTAACAGGCAACAGTCAGAACTGAAAGAAAGCGGGGTATGTGGTAAAGCTGGATGAAAAAAAAATGATGAACGCGGGAAAATAAATAAAAATTTGTGGGAAAGAACAGAAAACATAAAGAGTGAAAGAGAGAGAGAGAGAGAGAGTGAAAGAGAGAGAGAGAGGGGAGAGAAACGAAAGAGATAGTAAAAGAGAGTGAATATTCGACGTTCACGCGAGGAACATGGCCGCCGGCAAAAAAGCAGGAAATGAATTTTGATATCATTAGTAACAATTATAAAAATGCGTCAATCTATGTGTTGAATTTTCCGGACGATCGCGTCAGTGCCTGGAAGTGACGATGGTATCCCGTTTCAGAGCCCCAAAGGTGTACCAGACACTCTCATTAGGAGAGATGATAGAGTTTATTGATTTATTTATTTTTCTTTTTAGGTTTCTTATTTGTGCAAAAACGTGAAAGGGCTCTTGGAAACGAGAGAAATAAAGTCAGCAGGACGATAATAAGGCGGCATTCAGTTGGTCGGTGAATATATATATATATATATATATATATATATATATATATATATATATATATATATATATATATATATCTGCAAAAAATTAATATGTGCGAGCAATGATAAATAAGTTCTCTTATCTATCTATCTATCTATCTATCTATCTATCTATCTATATCTATCTGTCTGTCTGTTCGTGTATACCTATATATTTGAAACTGGTCATATCTATCTATCTATCTATCTATCTATCTATATATATATATATATATATATATATATATATGTCTATCTATCTATCTCTGTATACATTTACTCAGTCTTTAAATATATATATATACACACACACACACACACACACATATATATATATTTGAGTGTGTGTATTTATATATATATATATATATATATATATATATATATATATATATATATACCTATATATATATATATATATATATAGGTATGTATGTATATGTTATATATATATATATATATATATATATATATATATATATATATATATATATATATATATATATATATATATATATATATATGTATGTATGTATATATAAATAAAAAGAAAGAACAGTAAGATATATAAATATAGATATTTTTATTTTTTACAAAATAGTGCTCCATGTAAATTTAAAAGTTACTCCAAAATTCGCTTGA